CCTTTTTCAAGTTCTTAACTACTGTAACTAGTTAATGACCCAAAACCAAGCATACTAATTTGAAAAAAACCAACCATTGTACTAATTCAACCTCAGTATCCATACCAAAATTTACTGTCTCTCCCAGTCCCTGTTCAGCCATCCATAAGCTCATTAGATAGGTGACTTTCTGCTTTCCTCTGTCCCTTTTGCCTTGAATATGTCCTGTGAGTGTCAGATTTTCCAGGTACTCTTTCCTCATGTCTTAGAAAGTTCAATTATCTCTTTCTGATTCTAAGTGTCTTGTTTCCATTTTCCTTAAAACTTCCTTGTTACTCATGTTGAGTCTGTGGGATTCTCAGCATCCTTCTGTAGAACCACATTTTTGTTTCTGTAAGTCTCTTCTTCATATGTCAGGAGATTGCCCAAGATTCACTGCCATATAGGAGAACTGATATTATGTACTTTATACTTTTTTTGTAAAGAAAATTTTCCTTTTTCTTAAAACTTAGTTTTGATATATATTTCATACTAAATGTATATTCTTATGAATATCACAGATCTATAGAACTAAATAATTAGAAAAAGTGCACAACAGCAACACAGCAGCAGGCAATGAAATATTAGGTTTAAGGCTCTGAGTCCTAGCTTCAGGATTGTAGCCTAGCAAATTAAAGCATTGTTTCATGAATTTCATAGTATAGCGATTGTAAGTTCAATCCCTGGGCTGAGTAGTATAGACTCAAATTTAAGGGAAATAGGAGTAACTGCTGTAAAAGAAGAAAATTTGATGTGGACAGTGTAACATGAACACTAAATAAAATTAAATTAAATAAAGAGTTGAGTTTAAAATTCTCTGATGTTTATCCAGATTGACAGTCACCTCGAGAAGACTGGAGAGTGCAACAGCCAAAATGTTGTGATAATAAAGATGAGGACATTCATCTAACTGTAAATAAATGTTTTGTGTCCTAGAAATTTAGACAGTTTAAACTTAAAAATTAAATCAATTTAAATCACTGGCTGATGAAGAGAAACAGAAGTCCTGAATCATGTACCAACATTCCATAAAAATTAGAATATATTCTATAGTTTTTGTTAACAATTATATCAAGCCAAATATATGATCTAGCAAATTTTTACTTTTCACTAATATTTATATAAGTTTTGTAATTTGACCAAAATTTGGTCAAAAGGATTTATCCATGTCTGCTATATTTATTTGTGTTTGGTGTTATCTTGTATATAAAAAGAATACCCGCTCGTCCCGGTGGCTAGGATCAAAGTGTAGTATCTGCGCTTTGTGAGCTGCCGGGTCGGGTGTCTGTCGAACTCTCTGCTTGCAGAGAGGAACCCGGACGAAGCTCCACCAAGGGTAGGGTTTCGATCGGGAGGTTGACGGAACTAGCCCGCTTGGACGGGTTTAGATGGGTTTTATTTTTGGCTGGGCCTACGGGCTCAGACATACCCACATTAAAAAGGCCTTGTGCCACATTCAATTCCTGTGGGTGAATTGATAAATACCATCTTGTATATAATGAAATCTACTATTTTTTATGTAACCTCCACCCATCAAAACCAAAAAAAGCAGCTGCAAATGTATATATTAAGGTGTATCCTTTCTATATTTGTAGAAGAATCACTATAAAACAATTATTTAAAGTTATAAAAAGAGCATTATTTTTCATGGATACCAGTATTTGAGTAAATTCTCCATTTAGTTTAAACTATTTATTTTGTCTACTGGCCTGCATACCCAATAAAACGGCACATTTTCTTAAGTTTTCTTGAATACAAAGACCAGTAGACAAAATAGTGTTTTAAAAAATGGAGAATCTACTCAAATACTGGTATCCACTAAAAATAACGTTTGAAGTAATAAAAATGTCAAGTTAAAAAGAAAAATCCATTAATTCTTTAAAAAAAAAAGCATATAAAAAGAATTAAATATGGATAAATAGAAACCGTTACCTTCAATGACCAGAGAATATTGTTCCATTCCTTTTATATTGATATAAACAAAGAATTTCAGTGGAAGTAACATTTTTTTTTTTTTTTTTAATACACTGTTTCTTTGGAGGTTTGTTCTTGCTTTGTCTTTGCCTTGTTTATTAAACAACCCTTCCTACCCTATTGTGTTGCCTGCTCTACATTTCCTCCCTCAGATGATATAAGCTTGATTCTCTCCCTGCATATATTCCCTCAATTTGTTTTGTCTTTTCACTTTCCCTCCATTAATATATATGACTTATAAACACCTGTAAGTGGAGCTGAAAAAAAGAACTGTGTGCAAAACTCCCTGGAACTTTTTTTTTTATTAACTAGAAACTAAATACACAGTAGAAAACATTATTTTTTTTAATAATCACTAGAAACCTTAGTACACAGTAACATATATAAGATCATGTAACTAATAAGATATCTTTAAGCAGTATGAATTCATCCAACCAAGTTTTGTTAAAGTCAACCAAAAAGATCTGTTTAATTTTCTCATATTTTTCCAGTTTTTGAATATGTTATGCATTGGGATTAAAATTGTGTCCAAAATTCATCTTTTATTTGATTTTGTTAAAGTACTTCAGCGGCAAGCTAGGTTTGTATTATTTTTTTTTCTTTAGTATAGACATACCAGAACTTGTTACTGGCTAATGTAAATTCTGCTTCTATATGAGAACATCAAAATTTTTTTGGTATTAGTTCGCTTGACCTAAAAGTATTTGAACAAACACAATAAAACCAATGTACTACTTATTCAAAAATTGAAAAATACAATAAAATGAATACAGATGGACCTTGTTGGTTGAATTAAAAAAAAATGTTTGAATGAATTCTTGCTGCTTAAATAGACTTTATTTAAGTTACATAACCCAAGCAGCAAACAAGGATATTAACACTACAAAATTTTAATGTCCTTATATTAGCTAGGGAAAGGATCCAGCAACAATGCTGATAGATTGTGATAGAGTGTGTTTGTCAATGGCTGGTCTACAGAGTCACTTGAGAGCACACCAACAGAAGGTAGAAATTGACTATGAAACTGTAGAAGTCCAGCAATTGAAATGTGATATTTGTGGTAAGATATGCAGGTCCAGAAGCAGTTTCATGGAACATTTCAAATTTCATGATAATGTACCACCCACTGTTGGACCTCTTAAGTGCCCTGTTTGTACCAGAGTATGTAGGTCACCTGCTGGGCTAAAGAGCCATATTCATTCAGCACATCAGTAGATCTTCTCCAAAAAGATATGTAGTAATGGTCGTACTTGGACTCAAGTTGGCAACCACCATGTGTGTGTGTGTGTGTGTATATATATATATATATTTCGACATGAAAACAATAGACAAAAACTAAAAATCCTTGAAGCATTATACATCAAACAGTTGAAACCCAACCCTAAACAAAATCGGTTATGGCATTTCTACAAATATTCTTAAATGTCTATAATTGGTAACAGAAGCCATTGGTTTATATCAACAGCTTCCCATACTTCATACTTCTCCAATTCACTCTTGTGTGGTCATGTGCGATGCCATGAGATGCGGTGCGATTTTCGCTTCCAGTGTCTTATATGCACGTGTTTATCGTTGCTTAGAAATCATCTATGTAAACAATGACAGACTATCATCATTATCTTGTCCATATATTGCTTAATATGTTGTAATTGACATCTTTGATAATGGCTTATGTAAGCCGAAAGCTTAGATTGTATTAAAAAAATATGGATCAATATTGTGAATTTCTTTCTTCGTTCAACGATAATGTTATTAAACTTATCAGACGTTATGAAAAAAAATTTACATAATGAAACGTGTATATATATATATATATATATATATATAGAGAGAGAGAGAGAGAGAGAGAGAAAGTACACAAACCTAGCTCTTCCCTAAAGTGCTTGAACCAAAATAGAACAAAACCTGAACTATAAACAGTTTATCCACAGTCCTTATCCCGATGTACGACATTTTATTTGAAAATTGGAAAACACAATTTTAAAAATTAGACAGAAGTCTGTAGAATTTAATAAAACTTGTTTGGAGATACACACATATGCACTTGTAGAGGGACCAATTTTCTGTTTTAAAAATTTTCCTTAATTCTATTTCAGGTTTTAGGGAATTCTGTTTTTTTTGTTTTTTTTTTATTTTCAGTATAGTATTCTGTTTTTGCTTCATTATAATATGTAAGAAAGTGTAACAATATATAAATATTATTAAAACAAGAAAGTAAAATTATTTAAATGTAATTCGTAAAATTTGGCTTTCTGAAATGACAAACTGCATCCCCACCTTCGTCATCTTGTGTGATAAGAAATAGAAAAGATAAAAAAAAAGACAAAATTTTTTTTTATTAAATTAAGTAAACTTTGTAAAACTTAGTTACTAAATACTGTAAGCTGTATGGTTACAGTAAGTAAGGAAGATTATTAAAACATTACCAACTTTCTTTATCCATAGTTGTCTGTCAGATGAGTGAGTTAGGAAAGGCAAACATAGTAACAAATAAAAATGGCAGTTGGCCAATCTGTTAGAAAAAAACAATTTCTATTTCAAAATCATGAATTCCATTTCAAGTAGGCCATTCCATTTTTCTGTCTGTTTCCACAGAAAATAACCCCCCTCTACACTCATTAATGTGGTTAAATGCTGACATGCACACCAGCACCCTAGGTTAGGATAGGGTTGTTTTCTGGAAGTATTAATGATGTGGCTATTTATTGTTGTCTTGGCACAATTAACTGTTTAATTAACACACTTAATGAATAAGGCAGAGATCATTTACATATTTCTGTAATATTGTGTCTCAATACTTTTGGTATTGAAAAATACATTCTTAATGATCTGAACAGACATATGTCTGTCTTCCTTTTTATTATGGTTCTGTGTGTACACATACATACGTATATCAGTCACAAAGGTAAGTTCTCAATCAACTGGTGTTTTTTTTTTTTTTTTTTTTTTTTTTTCAAAAAGTGTCACAAATGATTTTCTTTTTAAATTATTTTCTGAACTTTTTCTAGGTGAAGATGAGGACACAGAGATCCCTACTGACTTTTCCTTACCTTGGTTACTGCTCAGTACAATACTCATAGCATTGGCCATGCTGTGTAAAGAGCAAGGAATTACAGCTATTGTAAGTATTGACACAAAAACTCTTCTTTTTTTTAATCTCATGTAGACTTAACAACCTACGACTGTTTATGAGATGTGGTTTTGAAAATCTATAACTTTTACAAACTTTTCCCAAAGGTTATTGATAATGTAGGCATGCCCCAGAGTTTTATCTTTGTACCTACGTTGTTTATAATTTTCATCAACAATGTTCCTGATGTCATCAGTTCTCAACTCTATCTATGCTGATGACACACCTATTTACTCCTGTCTTAATGGTAAGTCTAATCAGTTCAATAGGATCAAATTGGCAGCTGATCTAAAAAAAAATGACCTATGATCTGTTGTTAACTAGGGCAAGAAATGGCTTGTTAATTTCAATATCTCCAAAACAAAGCTGCTCTCTATTAATTCTCTGAGAGAACCTTTTTTTGCTTTCCATCAGCATGACTGATTCTAACCTCCAGGAGAGTGACTCCTTGCAGCTTCTCAGGCTAATTAATGTTTTACACTGACATTAAGTAGAAAGATTATAACTGAATCAATTGCTAGGTCTGTTGCTAGGAAAGTTGGCAATTTTTCTCACCAGAATTTATCTTACACACTTATAATTCTACCATTCATCCATGCATTGAATACTGCTGCTATATCTGGCCTGTTGCTTCTGCTATGTATTTAGGTTCTTGATAAAATAAAAAGAAAAATCTGCAATGTTATTGGTCCTGACCTGAAATCTTGGTTTCAGTCACTTTCTCACCGCTGTAACAAAGGTAGCTTCCCTGTGCGTTTTCTATAGATATTTTCATTGTAATTGTTCTGATCAGCTTTCCTCTTTGGAAATGAATGAATTTAAATGCAGTTGAAATGGCTATATGCAACTGTAAGTTCTATGCTAACAGTTTCTTCTATTGCACTTCTCACTTGTGGAACTCTCTTTCAGCTTCTTGCTTCCCTATCAACTTTAATATTCAAAAATTTGAATGCAATTTTAATCATTATCTTTTGATGTCTTAATTCCTGTTCTTTTATTGTTCTCTCTCCTTAATGTTTTCTTTTTCTTATATTCTCTCACACTCAGTAACCCCTTTCGTCTTAGTGGCTTTATTGCCTGACTCTGGGTAAAATGATTAAAAAGAATGTCTGATACCTCTAATTGATCTGATACACTGAAAAAACTTCACATAATCATTAGATTATATGAAGGATGAATGTCTTATTTTTCCTTTTTCCTTGCTATATTATTACCCCTATTAGCCCCTTAAAAGATTTCGATTGTTAAATTTCTAGAGTCCTGACCAAATTGTTGGAAAATCTGAGTATGTGATATTAGTGCAATTAAATTGATATATCTTAAAAACTGTTAGAAATTAATTACAAATTTATTTTATTTGAAAGCAAATTGATTTCTCTTTCAAATAATACCAAGTTTGCCTCCTTGGTATCACTCATTATGAGATATGGTTTTGAAAATTTAAGTGGACTAGCTGAAAACCTGTCTTGCAAACATTTTTGTGAATAAATTTATTTAATAAGTAAGTTTGTACAAATGAAAAGATTTGACATTGACAACTTTTTCTGAAGCTGCTGTTAAACACTTGTATCCTCCTTTTCTTTCATTTTCTTATTGAAACCAAGTCATGTCTCTGATATATCAGTTCTGTGTTTTCATGCTGTCAAAAAGAAATAGTCCAATTTTTATACGGTATTGCCAGGACATAAGAGTCATGTGAACTAATAAAGGAAGGAACAAGCAGAATTATAATAGAGACTAGCAGTAGAGCCCGGCATTGCCTGGGGATGTAACAGTAAGAGATAGATCAAGTATCGACCATCATAAAGACTGAAAAATAAAATTGACAAAGATTATTGTTTAAGGTTGACGGACACACATGTCTTAATTAGTTTTTTTTGGTTTTTTTTTTTTTTTATGAATTGGTCAAACCCAAACTCAAACAAAACATTGTTTTCAATCGTTATGAGTCTACCGATTGAATAGAATTTTATTATAAATAATTGTCTTGTAAATGGAATTTTTAAAGCTTTCTGAATGTAAAAATAAAGAAAAAAGTGGGCAAGACAATAAGAAACACTACCTGCCAAAAAAAAAAAGTGAAGTTTTGTTGAAATCGGTTGAAAAATGTAGGAAATCCGATCCCATATATAAATGAACACACACACACACACACAACCTGGGTTTTATAACAAGTATAACTCGATATGAGTTGTCCCCCTTTCATTCTTGAAATAGCGATGCCTCTTAATCGTGTTTTTAAATTGATTTTGTGCAAAAACAATTGTGTTTTTCCAATTTTTGGCTCTGTCAGAATCACTGCAAGGTAATTTTACATAGTCCTGTAAAGTTTTGTTGAAATCAGTTGAAAAATGTAGGAAATCCGATCCAATATATAAACGAAACACACACACACACAACCTTTTTTTATAATAAGTAAGATAGTGAATATTTGTTGCTTTTTAGATGATATGATTTGGTGCTGAAAAGTTTCTGGTCCACACTGTCTTCTGAAATCTGTCTTTTCATGTTAGGTTATTAAAATACTGATTTTAGGGAAGTGGACTAGAGCAAGAACATTTCAGTGCCTTCATATACAAAAGATTCATTTGATAATTTTAATTATTGCCTCTTTTACTCTATTTTCAGGGAATTTCCAGTGCCTATGACATTATTGTTGTTTGTCGTATTGATTTGTTTCCATTTCGCCAAAAGAAATACATCCAAGAAACTCAAAATGTAAGTTTTTTTTTTTGTTTTTTATTTTTTTAGTTTTTGTTTATTTTTTTTTATTCTTAAGCTGCAGTTTTGAAAAGCAAGCATTTTGCTATCTTGGGAATGTCAGTAGAGGTTCCTTCTGTGTGAATTTGAAAATTTCCTGCCTCTTCTTTTATTTTTTTTTAAGCACATTTAATTGTAAATGTAGAATTGTATAAGCTAAGTACAGGAAACAGAATTAGTGAATAAAGTTAAACTTCCAACTGTGCACTTGTTCATTTAGTATTAATACACATAGAAAAGGCGTGAATCCATTTTCTCGTATGTTCTGTTTCATCATTAAATATTTAGTTTAAAATGTCTTAGCACTAACAGCAAAGAGATATTTAATACACAACTTGGGTTTGTTCAGGTACTGTATTTATGGGTGTATAATGTATTAGTGTATAGTGCAAATATACATTGATAAGTTAGTACTATTAGATTTTGAATTTACTTTGCATCTCATTATTTATCCAAGTTAACTTAAAAGTGTGTGACACTACGATTGAGACACCTACATAGAAGGTTTAGTGTGTTGGCTACTTTGATAATTAATGTAAGGTTTCATATGAGAATATTTTACAGTACATGAATTAATGGCAGTGAAAAGGTGCATGCACAAAATAAGAAACTGATTGCTTTACAATGCAAGACAAAATTCATTTAACAACATACCAAAAGGAATTTTTAAATTAATGTATTTGAGTGTGACTTGCCTGTGTAGGTGTGTTTGTATGCAAAGTGTCCACAGCCCTTTTTTTGCTTCAGTTTGAAAAGTTCATGTCACACTTCAAAAGGAGGAAAAACAGGAAGAAAGTTGCTACTTAAGGTTTCACTTGGTTTTATACCCCCATAATGATACTATGTTTATTAATGACTGCTATGTTTTTTAAGGTACTACAGAGGAAATAGCATGTGATTTTATCTTGGACTTAAGTGTTTTATGGCCAGTAATAAAGTCTGCAAAATGGGGGTCTTCAAGGGGCCAACCTCTTGATCAAAAGAGATTAAAATAATAAAAAAAAAACATTTGGGAAAAAGTGACAAGAAACTGGACATGGAGGACTTCCGGTAATAAGTTTATATTAACAGACACAGAATTGAGTCTGCACTGGGCTACCCTTTGTCAGGTGCATACTGTCTGTTGAAAGAGTTGCAAGCTGTGCATTGTTAAGAGAGATGGACAGAAAGTTGATAGTTGGAGTTGAGGTGAAAAGCTGAACTGTTAGTCTAAGATGTCAGTAATAGCAGAAGTTGACCCAAATTTCTTAGATCTTGTAAGGTAATCCCTGAAATAAACAATGAAATATATTTAAAATGGGGTTTGAGTCTTCGTTTTGCACCATGGTGTTTATTTTCACCTTTTGTTTTCTTTTGCAGTTTTTTATGCACACTGACATGAACTTGAGAGAATAGAGATACAACATGGAGTTCCATTGTCCAGTCAATGAAAAGCTGTGACAAGGACCCCTGTTTGATGTCACAATTTAGTATTTTTGGGCTTTCAAAATCTTGGCTAGGTTTGTCAATTATGGTTAGCAATAAATTTCTAAGGCAGCAAGTACCAAAATCTTTGGGAACTACAAATCTAAAGAAAAAGTATAATAAATGAAATAGATATAATCTATTATGGGACTGCCTTTGTGTTCCTGACAGAAATCATATCTTTTGATTTTAGGTAAAGAATTCTTGGTGGAAGTCTTTGATACTGCGACAATTTATCCTCTTGGTATGTGGTCTTCTGCTGCTTGGAATTCGTTGGAGAGTGATGGGTTCTACAACCCCAACATTTCAACATGCTGATAATCCCCATTCATTCATTTCAAGTGCTTTTCTTAGGGTAAGATGTTCTCTTCCTAATTTTTTTTCTTTTTATAGATATAATAATTTTGCATCATTTTTTATCAGAGGTGTTTTTTCTCAAAACAAATGATTTGATTCTAAGAGCTTTTTAGACAATTGATCTTGTTTTTTTACTTTTATCAGAACATTTTATATAATCCATTTTATAGCCTTTTACAAGTGTACTATCTGTATATGAATGGGTGGTAAAGATTTTTCAGGCCTGACCAAAAATGATTATATACATAGTAAACAAAGCAAATACAAAAATCATGTATAGAAATTCATTGGAAATTATTATAGAAATATCATGGTTTTAGTATAGTAAAAATGTAGAAGTTAGGATTACATATGAAGGGGACAGGTTTGATCCTTGCTAGAGGATGCATTTTCTTTAAATAGGGTAAAAAGAGTCATACTTAATGGGAAGTCCTTCATGGTCAAGCAGTAAAGCATGATTACATATTGACAAAATGAATACAGAAATTCATTGGAAATTATTTTACTATTGAAATGCATTGCAAATGATTTAGTACAAGCTGTTTATATAAAATACTATAAACGTTACTACAATGGTCACTTCTTATTCGGAATAGATGCCCCATTTTTATTTATTAAATAGTCTATTTTACATCTATTGGTCTGCAGAAAATGCATCCTCTGGCAGGGATCAAACCTGTCCCCTTCATAGGGAAAACTACTGTTTCATCTGGCATGCTTTACTGCTTAACCATGAAGGACTTCCCATTAAGTATGGCTCTTTTTACCTTATTTAAAGAAAGTGCGTCCTCTTTACTCAGATTATTTTTCTGGAGACCCCCATATCTGCTCAGTTTCATATATGAAACGCAAGCAAAGCAATTTCTAAAGAATTAATGGCTTTATTTTTAATCCAATATTTTTATTAATTCAAACAGTGGACATTTTTTTATTTGGAATAGATGCTCTATTTTTATTTAATTACTTTACTCGGATTTCTCGAATGCACAGGCCGATAGACATAATACACACTGTTTAATAAATAATCCATTCTTTAGAAATAACAGATTATATAAAAAGAAATTATTAAACAAATATCTTGAAAAATTTTAGTTATTCTAATTATTACATATATAGTAACAAGCAAATAGTAAAATCATTTATAGAAATTGATTACTACAAATTATATTTACTTTAGAAATATATTATTAATTATTTTTAATTCATGTTTACTGGCACTGTTAAAAAAAAAAAAAGAAGACATATAATCCTGTTTTATGTTAACACTTTGTATTAGCTTGCCTTTTCCCCTGCCCACAAATTCTTGGAATAGTAGCAGACAGAGTAAATCTCTATCCCACTTTCTTTTTTTTTTTAACTTCTGTCTGTTAGGTGTTGTCTCCTTACGATGCCTAACAGCACAAGCGGAAGGAAAAACTAAACTAAACTTCTGTCAAGCCTCATTCTAGGGTATATTGTAGCTGTATATATGTTTAGAAAGAAAGGGAAGATAGTGGAAGCAATAATACCCTCGTGTATTTAACATCTGCTTCAATGAAATGATATAGTAATATAAAATAAGCTAGCCCCAAATGATTCATTTCAGTAATAAAAATTAGCAAAAAAATGTGGAATTTGCCTGAGTCTCGCTCTAGATGATAAAAATAAATAGAGGTCATAAAAACCTATTTGAGAAATGATTATAACGTTATATGCAGTATATGACTGTACCTGTATTTAATGACTGCTTATAATTTATCTCTGTTAAAATGTCAACTGTAGAATTTGATTAATGCAATTTTCTGTTGACCCAAATCAATTATTCATATATTAATCAGGGCTTCTTGACATTCTATAATCATCTAATCCTATAATTATTATAACATGATATGCAGTATATGACTTGTACATGTATTTAATGAATGCTTATAATTTATCCCTATTAAAATGTAATCACAATATGCCAAGTGTCAACTGTAGAATTCCTATGGGTTCAGCTAGTTTAAGTAATTTTGTATTTGCTTTCTACTTATAAAATATGAAAATATTGGGAAGTGTGTCTGACTGAGAAATTTTCAGCACCTCCTTGTAAAAGAAAAGGTTTTTAAGATTTTTTTTTTTGTTTTATAGGTAGTACATTTTTTTAATGTATTTCTATTATGATGAGGTGTTATGGGGTGATCTTCCTCTTTCTTGATCAATTTAATTAATCCTGTCATGATAAATCTTGCGAACTGATAAGTATTGACACAAAGTGCAAGAAAGAAGTCAAAGAGGGATGTTTGGTTGCTTTCTCCTATACTAGTTGCCAATCAAGGCTAGAAACTCCAATCTGCTTTGCTGTTTTATCGACAGCTGAGAGGAGACAGGAGGGCAAAGTGAACTGTCTTGGCTGGAATTTTAAGTCTGCTCACTGATTATGACTTTCAATCTTTTTAACCATTTTAAGCCAACCACACCTCCAGTGTTTTGATTATTTTGTAGAGAAAAGATTGATATCTGGAAACAAGAGAGCTCTTCTTAATTCCCCCTCTATTCTAGAATTCTTACAAGTAACAAAACTCTACACCAAAATATAAAAAGGAAACTGAATAAACACCTGGCTACAAAATGCAACTAAAACTGAATTACATCCTCATCCTTATATAATAATGTTTAATAATAGACACAAAATAAAAACAAATCTTAAAACTACCTAATTCAGTGGAAAATAACCTGTGGGGTTGATGTTCCGGTAAAATAGATTGTCCACCTGAGGAAAGTTGGTGAATCAATTATATGAATGCATTGACCAAAATTTTAACTAAAAGAAATAATAGGATCAATACTTTTAGCCAGGGATTCTCAACTTTTCCACCCAGCATAACTGTTTGGTCCTGCAGTGTTAGCACAGATCCCTTGTGAAGAATTTCATGTAAAATATATCATACAAGAAACAATACACATGTAGTATTTCATTAGTAAATTAATTTTACATTTTTAATGCAATGAATGGATTTGACTCTTTCAAACAAGTAATTCACTTCTATGCAGTTTCAAAAATACACTTGCATATTTCCATCTGAATTTCTGACATGAGGAATTATTGTTATTTGCAATCAAACTAATATCCTTATCTTTGTTATTTTTATAACATTGTTTTGACTAGTATTTTCCAGCCTTCTTCAGATGCCTGTTAATTTAGATAACCTGCTCTTTCAAAAAATTGACAGAAATTACTGAATCTCTGTGGTATACCAATATGTGATATACCAATAGAGGTGATCATAAAAGTTCCATCAAAAATTGGCATTGCTGTCAAACAATAAGACATTTCTACATCAGAAAAAGAACAATGTAACCTTATAGATTGAATAAAGGAGGCATTTTTAAATTCCATGAAGGCTGTTCAGATCGACAGATGCCTGAAAAAGGACAGAGTATAAGTCAATAGAAATGTGATAACAAAGATGTGGACACTTGAATATCATTTTTAATTGACAGTCTTTCATGGATTTTGTTTTTTTTTTTTCTTAAACATATTACTGAAAAAATTGTTTGCAGCAGCAAGTGGCTCTGAGAGGAGTTCAATAAGATTGGATATATATGCAAATAAGAAATTGACTTTACAGAATGCCTCTTTTAATTTACAATGTTGTCAACAGTTTGCCATGCTTTAAATTTAAAATTTCAATGTTTTTACAAACCTTGTATTAGTTCCACTAGCTCAGACATTTATCTGTCCTGAGTAAGACAATAAACTACATTCAACAGCAAGACCTCTGATCAGAAGATTTTGAGGAGCATGGCATCAGCTCTTAGTTGCTGGTGTTCCCAGGTCCACCCTGACTTGGGGTGGTAGCACCTGTTAGGGTCCCAACTATGGACAAATAGTTGACCCCAAAAAAAAACTGGGGACAAAATGCTATGAGAGTGTAAAAATAAACCAGCAATACATTTTTTAATTACCAGCAATAAATTTTTGAAAAAAAAAAACCAGCAATACAATTAAAAAAATATATAAAATCTTTTGTTGGCATTAAATAATTGAAGTTGATAAGCTGTAAAACAAACCAAACAAACTATCTGACATTTATAACTAGGACTTGCCATACTATATCTATGGAGTTGAATCTTTCACATTTCCCCTGTATTTCCATTGACAGACGGCTTTTCTCCCCCAAGAACTGCTACTTTGTGGAACAGACACTTATGTGAATGCTTCCTTGAATACTCAAATCTTAACCTCTTCAAGTCAAGGGTCAATCATTATCCATCTTTAAACTCTTCACTTCCTTCTATCTCCTTTTACATCCATATCATGCACCTTATTCAGTAAGTCTCTATCTGGAGTGGCTTTTGGACCTTGCACTAAGTGAACTTCAATAAAGAACAAACACTGTAATTTCTGTGGTATACCTTGGGAGGTAGGTATGTGTTGCAAACTGTCACAAATTCACAGAAGCATAAGTCTAAATAGCTGCAAATCCACTTTCCCATTTGGTTGGTTTCCTTTCCCCTCTTGGTCAATGCCACTGACTTTATATATGTTTGAAAGCAGGTACACTAACCTATATGTAGCACATCCAGGTTATTCCATCAATCCCATAGGTAGCACATCTGGACTATTCCATCTACTGTTTTCTGTTATAAATGATGGAATAAGTCTACTCTGGTTTTTCTTTATACCATGAAGCCAGTGGCATCAGCAGGCACACACCCTCAGCTTTTTTGAAGGTAAGTGGGTTTCTTCTGCACAGTATATGTACTCAAGTTTAAGAATTCCTGGGTTTAATAAATCTTTGAATGATAACCAAAAAATTAGAGAATATAAGGATTTATTTTATTTTATACATTTCTTGTTTCTCTTTTCTCAGTTAGTGAACTACAGTTACATTTATGCTTTGAATTTCTGGTTGCTACTTAATCCATGGTGGTTGTGTTTTGATTGGTCAATGGGCTGTGTACCAACCATTGAATCTGTTGTTGACCCAAGAATTGGTGTGGCCCTGTTATTTTGGGTGGTATTGATAACACTGATTCTGACTTCTATATCCTACCCAGTGGAACACTACAAAAGGTAAAGTGTATAACAATGATTGTTGTTTAATTTTTATTTCTTTTATTTATGGCACTCTTCACTTTTTTCTTTTTCCCCCTCTCCCTTTTTATCCTCTCTTCTTTTCCCCCTCTTTTTCTCTTTTCCTCTCTCCTTTTTTCCCTCTCTCCTTTTTTCTCTTTCCTTTTTTTTTCTCTTTCCTTTTTTTTTTTTCTTTTTTTTTTTTTTTCTTTCTTTTTTTCTCTTTTTTTTCTTTTTTTTTTCTCTTTCTTTTTTTCTCTTTCTTTTTTTTTTTTCTCTTTTTTTTTTTCTCTTTCCTTTTTTTTTTTCTTTTCTTTTTTTTTTCTCTTTTTTTTTTTTTTTCTCTCTTTTCTTTTTTTTTTCTCTTTCCTTTTTTTTTCTTTTCTAATTTCAAACCTTTCATTTACTGTCTATTGGTAATGATAATATTAGTTGTTTCCTTATATGAAAACAATCAGCATTCATTGACCTAATAGCCAGTGCTACATTTGATTGAAATTTATAAAATTTTTCTATGAACTATTTTCCTGTAAAATTATTTTTTCTCGAGTCCATTAAATTTTGCCAGTCTTTTGAGTATTGATCAAAGGAGTAAGGGAGGGGCTTCCTTCCTAACATCTTGTTTGACATAATGTCAATTGTTGGACTCTTAAGTATGTCATTATTCTTTCTTTAAGTTAAATGTGCTATCCATTTTAGTTGTTGTTGCCATTGAGTGATGTGTTTTCTGTCATTTGGTTAAGTTCTTTGTGATTCTGTAGCAAAAGTTCATGAGGTTCAATGAAAGATGGCCCTCTCTAAGACCTGCAGGATTCATTCACTCAGTCATTTTTTTAATTAGAGAATGTGGTTGTACATAACTGGCATTTTAGCTATTTCTCAAGAAGTTAGGTGCCAAACATGACATCTATATGAAAGTCTCAATCTGACAAGACTATTTAAGAACATGACTCAAGTTTCTTGGGTAATGTTTTGATTTTGTAGTAATTACTAGCAGTAGAGCCTGGCGTTGCCCGGGGATGTAACAGTAAGAGATAGATCAAGTATCGACCATCATGAAGACTGAAAAATAAAATTGACAAAGATTATTGTTTAAGGTTGACGGACACGCATGTCTTAATTAGTTTTTTTTTGTTTGTTTTTTTTACAAATTGGTCAAACCCAAACCCAAACTCAAACAAAAACATTGTTTTCAATCGTTATGAGTCTATCGATTGAATAGAATTTTATTATAAACAATTGTCTTGTAAATGGAATTTTTAAAGCATTCTGAATGTAAAAATAAAGAAAAAAGTGTGCAAGACAATAAGAAACACTACCTGCCAAAACAAATTGAAGTTTTGTTGAAATCGGTTGAAAAATGTAGGAAATCCGATCCCATATATAAATGAACACACACACACACACACACAAACAAACAACCTGTGTTTTATAATAAGTATAACTCAATATGAGTTGTCCCCCTTTCATTCTGGCGATACAATTGTGTTTTAAGTTTTTTCAAATTGATTTTGTGCAAAAACAATTGTGTTTTTCCAATTTTTGGCACTGTCAGAACCACTGAAAGTTAATTTTACGTAGTCCTGTGAAGTTTTGTTGAAATCGGTTGAAAAATGTAGGAAATCCGATCCAATTAGGAGATCTCCTAATTTTTTAAATTTAAAACCTCTACATGTTGAATTTTATTTTTCCTTTATACATGTATTGAGCACTTTTTAATACTACTGTTTCCTGATCTAATTCAACTCTGACTAATAACTTTATGTATATTTATATGTATATATATATAGGTTGCTTAATTGATGTGTTAATGGTTTTTTAAACGTACAGACACACACACACACACACAATCTGCGTTTTATAATGAGTAAGACTAGTGTTGGGTGAAACTCTCCCTAGTACAGTCTATTGAATGTTCAGTTTCTTATACTAAATTTTGTTATAAATGATCCATATATCAGTGTATTTGAAATGTTTGGTACTGCTTATATGAACATATAAGGACATTCAGGTTGATTCGATGGTTAACAGTGTAAAAAATGGAATCATTGCGTCCAAATTCAGGCTGAAGCTGTTTAGTTTCACTTTATACTAAAAATCCCTGGGGAAATCTCTGAATCTATCTTTGCCAATAGATTATTTCAGGTCAGAGATTACTGTTCTGTTACCAGGGTACATATCCATTTAGCATGTGTGCATACCTCAGACAACTAGATAAACATCTTACAGCAATTAAAACTCTGGAGATGAAGTCCTGAAGGCCCAAAGTGTGAAACTAGAAAAAGAAATAAATACAAACTTGAGACTAGCTTAGTCACAATAACAAATAAAAAGTAAAAAAGGAAATGAAAAAGGAATATGACAAAGGCAGCTGGAGGCTGAACGTAACAGTAAGACCATGGGTCTAAATGTGTAAGAGAGATAGCAAATTGTTTGCTTATATGGATATGTTTAAAGTTTGCAGTGATAACTTCTCAGAAAGGAAGAAAGTTACATGAAGTTACAGTTTGTGAATAGTGTGTAAACAATCAGCATATGGTGAAAGGGGTTTGTCATAGATACAGCAATAAAATATATGTGTACAAAGGTGGCTACCTTAAAAGATGTTCAAATAATGATATTAAAGAAAACCTTGTATATAGAAAAGGTTTTAAAAGGTATATACCAGTGATGTTATTGTAGGGGACAGATTTAGCAGGATAAAAAAATATGAACCGTGTCCTTCATCTTGTGCTTTATTGTGCTGGTTCAAATGATTTCTACGGGCTGAACAGGAAGTGGTCAAAAACAGTGACTAATCAAAAATATCTAAATTTAATAGAAAAGTAGTTTACCCATACTGTCAAAAATGACAACGTATTTTGTGAAGTTATGAGAAGCAGTCTCTTATAAGTATTTCTAGATATGAAATGCCAGCTCAAGGGAGATAACTGTCGTAGAACAAAGTTACCAGCATTACATATCAAAGGAAAGCTTATTTGGCATATTATGGAGTAAGAGTATTTCTTAGCGAATAGGACATTTTGTACATACACTGGCACAGGAGTTCACTTTTGGACGGAATTGAATTAAAAAATTAGGAGATCTCCTAATTTTTTAAATTTAAAATCTCTACATGTTGAATTTTATTTTTCCTTTATACATGTATTGAGCACTTTTTAATACTACTGTTTCCTGATCTAATTCAACTCTGACTAATAACTTTATGTATATATATATGTATATATATATAGGTTGCTTAATTGATGTGTTAATGGTTTTTTAATTGGATAAACTGCCAGTCATCATGCAATGTTGATTTCTATGTCTGCATTGTTTATATGTTATATATATTCTAAAGTAATGGATTTTCTTATTTATTAATCTGAAAGTTTTTTAAATTAAGTGGAATGTCTACTCAAATCTGAGTATCCACTAAAAATGACATTTAAAGTGATAAGAATCTGTTGGATTAATAAATAAATGATCCATTACTTCTTTAACAAATTATTTTGTTTATGTTTGGATATGAAACTGCAGATATGTTAATTTTGAATAATTTATGAGAAGGTTTTTGCTTAAAGGCACTATTCAGACCTTGCTTGATTAATAAAGATTTGGTTAAGGCACATTGGAGCTAACAACAGTTTCCTTCTGCTCAAAGGTGTGTTGGTTCAAATCCTGCTGGGGATCATATATTTTTTTTCTTTAAGAAGATTTTTCGAATATTCATTTCAGTAGATGAAAATAAACAAATATACTGTTTAATAAATAAAACCAGAGCATCTACTAAAAATAATGCTTAAAATGATTATATATATTATATATATATATATATATATATATGAGAGGGAAGGAAAATTCAAACCAGCACTATGTCCTGTACTGGTGCACTGTGCGGCACATATCAGATGATGCTACAATCACAGGTCTTTTGTTTGGGAATAGCTGTTTTCCATCTCTTAGTTGGCCATTGGCTCCTAAGAAGCTCATCTGCCCTTTGCCAATCCTTTCCAGGCTGGTTTGAATTCAGAGGTTTCTTCTCCTAGGCATATATATATATATATATATATATATATATATATATGAGAGAGTACAGAACATGGTGGTATGATGTGGGTGCATTGCAGTGCACAGGCAATTCTGTTGTTTGGGGTTGTGCAGTTTTAAAAAAAAAAACAAATGGATATACTTAGAATTTACTTAACCCTCATCCGTCATTCTCAATGGGAGAATCTACCTATATCTAGTGTATGTTAATACTTTTCTTGCAGTGCACATCTACTGCACTGATTCTAGGCAGAATGTCTAAGAAGTGATGCTTTCATACTAGGCAATTTAAGTTGTCTCATTCTGATTTCCTTGTAGTTCCTGTTTTCTTTAAAAGTTCCTCATTGCTCTCATGTTCAGTCCATGTTATTCTCTGCATTCAATGATAGAACCATATCCTTTTTTTTCTGATTGTATTTATAAATTTCCTTATAGTTCTTATTTTACTTAAAACATTTTTCGTTGCTCACAAGTTCTATCCATAGTATTCTTAGTATTCATCAGTAGATTAAATTAAAGTTTCCTTTTCATTTGTGAAGAGATTGTGCAGCATTCATTGCCATATATATATATATATAGAGAGAGAGAGAGGAGATTAAATATAACATTGAATCTCATATGCAGATTAGATATTAAAAACATCATTAAGGAGAAAAAAAAATTATATGAAGATTAGATATTTTTCACCCCATTTGAATCTTAGTGGTTTTGCTTTGGGTGAAATGAAAAAAAAACACAGCAGTTCATCACCCTTTACCTAGTTTCTAATGAAAATTTCTTATCTTAATACTTAGCTTAGTTTCTGAAAGGAATCTTTCACTATTCTTATGCATCTTTGGATTTCTAATAGCTACAACATTCTAAAAGGATTGTATGTTCTAAAAACCATAATGCTTTTTGTACAGATGTGTTCATATTTTGAAATGGACAAATTGATTTTGATAAAAAAATTTTTATATTCCTTTTGTGTAAAAATTATCAAAATTTTGATGAAAAGATTTTGATTCTGGGTTGAAATTTTTTTTAATAGTTGCCAATATCAGTAGGAAGATTTTTATTTTGTGTTCCAAATAATCTTGAGATAAAATTAACAGTACTACATATTGCAAACTATATAAAAAGATAATTGTTTAATATCTGAAAGGAAATTGTCTGTGACATTTTAAACATGACATCTACCACACCTCAAAAATCTCATCTGTTTCACTCATTTTGATCATTAAATTAGCATCAGTTGGAAATGTTTGATCTTTAGAAGTATGGTATCATTTAAGTTATAACCTTTAAAAATTGCAATATTATCTGTCTCCTTATAAGGAGCATTTGACATTCATTGACTGAGTAAACAATACTAATTTTGGTTGAAATTTATGAAATCTTTCTCTTAATATAAATTTTCAGAAAAAATAGGTTTCTCAAGTCCAGTAATTGTTATTGCTCTTGCTTGTATTGATGGGGGCTTTCTGAAAAGCTGTCTGAAATCATGAGGTGATTGATACTAAAAGGAAGTTCTGTTTTGTTTTATTTGATACTGTAATATCAAAGATTGTGTTTCATAAAAAAAAAAAAGAAACAAATGTCTAAATGATAATGCTTTAAAGGTGAGCAGTTTTTGTAATTGAAATTTTCAATATTGAGAAATATAGCAATAAATAAAATGACATGTTTAAAGATGTGGTATCTGCTTGGTAATGGGTGTGATAGTAAAATTTTACTATCAAACACCATGACAAGAAAATAATGCACAACTGTGAATCTGTAAGCCTGTGATATAAGTTGAACATTTAATTTTATTTGTTCTGAAAAATTTCCTCACAGATAAAGAAGATAGTCCTGGTTATGATGATAAACTACATCTGGCAGCAAGACCTCTGATCAGGAGATTAGAGCTTTTGAGAAGTGTGGAACCACTTCTTCATTGCTGTTATTCCCAGGTCTACCCTGACTTGGGGTGGTAGCACCTGTTAGGGTCCCAGCTATGGGTAAATAGTGAACCTCCAAACAGAAATAAAACACTATGAAAGTATAAAAATATATTTTTATAGTAAAATTACCAACAATACATTTTATAGCAAAATGTCCAATACATTTTACCTGTAGTTGAAGGCATACAATTTCATTCAAAATATATTTAGTTGAAGGCATACAATTGTATTCAAAACGTGTTTAGTTTAAGTCAAAAAATTGTATTCAAAATATTTAGATTTCAGTATTAAATAACTTATAGAGGTTGATATGCTGCTAAACAAAATCAACCAACCAACATGAAAGAACTCTTTCATGACATTAATCCATATAATATCCTACAATTTCTTAAAGAAATCAAACTGTCTTTCCCAAATATAACTACAACATAAGACATGCATATCACCACCTCTAGTAATTATTTTCACGCAAACATGTAACAGGTGTAAGCACAAAATTGTCCATTTGTTAGATAAGCTTTGAATCATATCTTAGAAATGAATAAAGATAGCTTACTGGAATTCTTCGAGTTTTTTATAAAACTATTGGACTCTTTAAGCAATAAAAATGTATAATTATTCTTCAAGCTTAACAGAAGAATCGTGATGAAATTGATCATAAATGAAAATAACATGTTCATCATTAGCTAATCGTAGCTAAGGATTGGATGCCATGAAGGACTGAAATAAAGTTTTTATATATATATATAATTCCAGGATCATTTTCCAACTTATTCAAGATTATCTTCGCCTTCTCTAACCTTTTAACTTTCTGTCCTGGAGTAACAAGATGCCTCGGAGGTTTCACCTATGATTTCATTTTCAAGTTTTTTCACTGCTTTTGGGACTGTCACAGGTGAAACTCCTCTCTCAACTCTTATAGATTGAGTTGGATCTTTTCTAATTGATCTCTTTAGCTCTGTTGAAATAATGATCCTTCTTCTTCTTGTAACCTCCTGATCTAGTTTTCCTCTCTACTGTTACCTCAATTTTAAACTTATTCATCATTCTCTTGATGGTTCTTGAATGGAATTTCAAGATGGAAGCCAGAGTATGAATGTTGATACCATAACTGAAGGCCTGAATGTTCTTTTTCCTCTCACTGTTACTCAGTTGGGAAGACATAGGGGGGCTGACACAAAATGATTTTAACCTGTTCTTTTTGTAGCTAAATAATTCAAAGCGTTTTTCGGTGATTCTTATGACAAATGGTGTCAACATGGCTAAACATCTTGTCTGAAACCCTGGAAAAAAACTCAATTAGTCTAGTGTTTTTTTTTTTAGATATTAAACATTTTGTGGGATGGACAATTATGCTGTTACACCTGGTATATTCACAAAAGCTGAGTATCATCTACCATGTATTCAATTGTGAAAGCAGAATAATATTTTTATTACTTCAAAGTTCTCTCCAAAATTAAATTTAAGCTTTAAATGACCCATAAGGAGTTGATATTCTGTGAAACAAACAAACAAATCAATCACAGATAAAGAAGGGACTTGAAGCAACGGAAATGTTCTACAGAAGGATGCTGGGAATATAATGAACTGAACATATGAGCAACGACAATGTCTTAAAGAAAATGAAAATAAGATGGACACTTATACTTAATATCAGAGAGAGAGAGATGAAATTTATAGGATACATAATAAGGAAAGAAGGCTTGGAAAATTTGATACTCACAGTATATATTAAAGGCAAGAGGAATAGAGTAAGTAGCACATAACCTACTTAATGAGTTTGAGTAAATGGATGGCAAAACAAAGTTTAAGACAGATAACAAAACAACAAAATTTACCTGAAGGGACACTGCACATAGAAAAAGCTATTTGATATTTGTTTATATAGTAAAAAGATACAGAGAAGTAAAATTACAGTAGTTTAAATTTTAACCTTTAAAAAGCTGTCTGAAATTATGAGATGATGTGTATATGTTTGCTTGATAGTGATAGAAAGATGAGGAGAGAAGAAAATATAAAATCATGTTCATTCTTTTATTCTGACTGAATCTGTTTTTTCTGTTTCCTCTTAAAACATTTCATGGAAGATGTTCTAATATGTTTTATATTTTCTAAGATGTTCTTTTATGTTTTCTTTTCCCTCAGGATTCTTTCAATGGGCTTTGCCATTCTTGTGGTGCCATTTCTTCCTGCTTCTAACCTGTTCTTCAGAGTTGGATTTGTGATTGCTGAGCGAATCCTCTACCTCCCCAGTGCTGGATTCTGCATGTTGGTTGTGACTGGAGCCCGAATGTTTTGCCAATTTAGCTCGGTGGCAAGAAAGGTAAGTTTGTTTGATTTTATCATTTTTTTCTGTACTGTGTTTGTTTTTGTTTTTTTTGTTTTTTTGAGAAAGCTAAAGAACAGCATTTCACAACACCATTTTCTGCAATGGTAATATTATCTGTTTCTTTATATGGAAACATTCAGCATTCATTGACCAAACAGTGCTACTTTTAGTTGAAATTTATAAAATCTTTTTCTCAAAACAACTTTTCAGGAAAATAGATTTCTCAAGTCTAGTGTTATCCCTCTTTTCACTATTGATGGGAGTTTCCTTCCTAACATTTTGTTTGATGTAGTGTGGAATGCCAACATTTTCATTATGTCATTATTTTCTCCTTGAGTTGCATGGGATATCCATTTTAGTTGTTGCTGCTGTTGAAAAACCTCAAGTGATGTGGTTTCTGTTATTTGGTGAAATACTTTTTTAGTCTGTAAAACTAGTCCATAATGTTTGAAGCAAGATAGTTCTCACTAAGACCTACAGGGTTCATTTACTCAAAGCCATTTTTAATCATTGATCTTCCATATCAAAGAGCCTTTTTTTTTATTATTCCTTAGCAAAATTGGTCAGAGTATCTCTTGTGTTTTATGCGAAAAGTTAAGGTACCTGGTTGGCTGTTTATTTAGACACTGTACACAAACAGTCCTTGTACTTAACCTGGGTTGGGGAAGAGTTTTACATGTCATCAAATATGATAGTTGTACTTAAAAGGGTATTGTATTTATGGCTGGTCATACAGATTTGAAGTTGTGTACATACATGTACTAAATTGTGCTGAAAATAAACATTGAAATTCCACTTGGTTAACTACATGCATGCTTTTTTGTAGCTATTTACTAATATGCATGTATTAGTAAATATTATATTTACTAATATTATATATATATATACACACACACAAATGAACAAAAACAAGACTTTCCTTTTGGCTTTATTTTTATTGTATTTTTACATATATATTTTTAGTTATATCAGAATTTTATACAGCTACACACGTCTAAGCATGCTAATGATAAAAAATGAACTTTTCTGAAAAATAATTCAATTTTTCTAAATTGAACAAAAGAACTATTTTACTATTCTTCTATTTTCCTATTTTTCAATCATTTTTTTGTTTATCATTCTAAAAGGTTGTGGCTTCATTTTTTTTATTCCTGATTGTCATCTACATCTTCAGATCTGTCCAGGTAAGAATTAATTTTTTGACTTTGGTTTTTAATTAAATTTTTATGTGTTTGTGATTTAATTAAAGTGCTTATAGAACGATATACAATGTCAGAGCTTATCTTTCTTGCATTTTATTGCAACTCTTGGTCCAACATTATATGGACATTAATATGCAGTGCAGATTGGAAGTAAAAAAATAAACCTTTGATGTTTACATATAACTGTAGACTGATTCTTTGAGGTTTGGATTAAAAATAAAAAAAAAAAAAAAACAATAATGGAAGATTATTGTGTTTAAGCATGAAACAGACTGTCACAGCTGGGTGTTGACCTCAATGTCTACTTACATATGCTCTATCTCTGATACCAAGCACTTTAACTCATAAATATAGCATACCTTAAAATGATATTTTTATCATATATTTAATTTAGTTGTTTAGAAAAATAAAAATAACTAAATTTCCTGGAAGAGTGAGTTCCACTAAAATTGTTTATTTCTCATCTTATTGATAAAGGACATGCTTTCTCTCTTCATTCTTCATGTTTCAGGAATCTGTTGGTGGTCTTGCAATATTTCTCTATGAATAAGCAGTGCGAAGGGGACTATTGTAACAATAATTCTATAAAACTTTTTTCATCTCTTGTAGAGAAGTGCCGAGTGGCTGACAGAATCAGAGCTCTTTATAAAAGGAGAAAAAGTGTGTCCCTTAAATGCAAAGGTAATTCTTTTTGCTTCTAAATGTCTAATTAGCAAAACTAAGCTTGATGAGGTTACTGTTTACTAAGTCTCATGAGGTTAAATCATTTTTAGATTGTTTGCAATCAAATAAAGCAGGAAGAACAAGTTGAAGAGAAAAGAGGTGAAAAATGATAACAACTTGGTGCAAAGACAGTACAACTGCATTGTGTGTAGATTGTTTCATGGAGTATCATACTGCTTAAAAAATAAATCTAGGAACTTAACATTTGTGATATTTCTCTTTTTTTTTTTTTTTTTATTTTCTTTATTTTTGTAAACTACAAGATGTAAAATATCATGTTTATAGATTTTTGCACATAAAATGAAAATAAGCACTCTTAAAAAATAATCTATTTTCTCATCCCCCCCCCCCCGGTTTTGCATGCAAATTCATGCAACCACCTCCTACTTTTTATCCCACTTATTTATCTTGAACCTTCTTATTCTGGCAGTGAATAAGACCAAAATCCAAGACAATTTGTAGATGATAATAAAAAGCAGTGATTGTTCTGAAGTAACTGACAAAATCCAAGCAGAAATTTGTTTGTACTCTTCTTACTCTGGCAGAGAAATTGATAGTGATCCAATACATTTAGTAGATGGTAATAAAAACAATAATATCAAAGTTATCAACTCTGTATTTTAACTGGGAAGAAATGCAAATCTGTGATCTTGTTAAATACATTTCAAATTTGACAGAAGAGACAGTAGACATTATAACAATATAATAAAAATAAATTATATGAAACAAAATTTTGTAATATTTTTCTAAAATTAGGACATTCACTTGCATCAATCTACCTACTTACTGTGACATAGTCTTGACATCATATGTGGTTGAAACTGGTGTTTGGTAAGTACAATTATTGTTCTATAGTGGACTGTATCTTCATGCCACTACATCAAAGTGACACTGTTTCTATTTCTTAATTAAAGTCAAATCAGCAATCTTTCCACTAAGACAAACATTTTTATGTAGTATTGAATAGTACAATGCATATTGGTCTTTATCATCTACTTAGGAGTGTCTGTGGATGTAGAGCAGTGGTTCCCAAAGTTTTTTTTTCTCTGTGCTACATTTTTGGAATGAAAATCTGCTTACACCTCACCAAACTTTGTGATAAAATGTACATTTAAAAATTAAAAAAAACAAAACAAAAACAGAGGGGGGGTTAAGGGAGATAACCGTGGATTCAAAGTCAGAACATTATCATTGATAACTCTGTCCTCCAATTTGCAAACCCTAGTTACTATATATTCTTAATACTTGATATAATGCAAAAATATCACAATGATAAAATCAATCAATAATTATTTATAACTATTTATACTGGGACTCCTGCATATGATTACAAGTAATCCATTATAATGTTTTAAATTTTGAAATCATTTATTTTTGGCATATGAATTTTTTTAAACTGTTTCAAAATCTTTATCTTTCAATCATTCTGCCTCACCTGCTATCGTCTTCCAACACACCAATGAGGCATGCCACACTGTTTGGGAACCATTGGTGTAGAGTAAAAAAAAAAAAAACACTCCAATTCTATCATTACAGAAACATATCCTATAAGGTGAAGATTCTCACTGAAGAATTTTGGAGGAAGAAATTTGTTTTTTTTTTTTACTTTCTTGCTAGTTGCTGATTTGTCAGTTTAAGAGCCAATGAAAAAGCACCACCACATCCTTCTTTTTCACTCTTTGCTGGACTGATGGCCATCAACTTACCCTATGAACTATATTGTATTTCAGAAATACAATATATAACACAGTGTCTCTGATGAAAGAAGTTAGCTTACTCCACAAAAATCTATTAACCCTTAAACTTCTGCATTAGTTTTGCAAGTATTACTTCTTCTCTTGTACATGATTGTCTCCCATCTGCAGTAGTTGAGTTTTTAATTTCATTCAATGTTCACTTTAGCTGTTGCCATAGTAGGATATGATCTCTACTTGATTTGCTAATACTGCAGAATGTAATGTTGAACATGTGTGTTAATAATAACAAAGTGTCTAAAGGATGATTTTTCCCTTGACACTGCTATTATTTTAACTACCTTCACTCTTAAGTAGAGTTTGTCCTATTCAGTATACTTTTTAAACAACAAACTCTTGAAGAAGGCTGGAGAGCAGTGTAGCTAAAATGAGAATAACAGTCCAAATGATTTAGTGTGTAATAATAATTCTACACCTCAAAAACAAAATTTATGGTTTTTAGGCTATATAATCATTTCATTGTTTATTTAATATTTTACAGGTTCATTATAATATTGCTAAGGTGAAAGCTGATGAAGGTGCTATAGATTTTGCCATTGAAAAATACCATTTGGCCATCAAGTAAGTTTTATTACCTTTTGTCGTATTACAGGTAAACGTGATAACTTCTCTGAAGAATTCTATATTTTTCTACAAGAAATCTGTCAGTTGGGGTTACCTTAAAGGTATTTTGAACTGAGCCCTTTATTCAATCCATGAGGATGGATTGTTCTTCATTCCACTGTCCTTGTCTTGGTTAATTGTTCAGTTGTTGCTAGACTTGTTTTCTACTGAGTCTATCTATACAATCAAAGACAGGAGGACACAACAGCCAAAACATGATTGTAACACATGAGAGCATTAATCAAATGTAAACAATATTTTGGTTCATAAAATATTGTTTTGTCTTCTATTATTTCAAAATGAAAATGTACAATTTATAAGTAAAGCCAAATGTTACATTTGCCTTTTACTTTCAATAGATTATTATTTCATTATCTTGATGTAAACATGCAATGGGGCACTTACTTGGTTTTCCCCTGACTGGCCAATACTAATCCACCAATGTTTAATCTTCATTCCCGCAAAAAAAAAAAACCTGTTTCAAAAGGATGATTATTCCCTTGGTACCACTATTACTGATTCCATCAACAATGTTTATTGTTTTTAAAAGGGAAATAGATAATATATAGTTATTCAAATTTTCTTGTTTTATAGTTCATTGATATTTTTATAAAATTATAAATAAAAGACTTGTTTTTATAGTTATTTATAAAATGTTAAATAATAAATATTGCATTGGAGATGGTTTACATATTTTGATAATTTTGTAATTTTCTTCTAAATTTTTGAATAAAAAGATTTCTTTGCAAATTTATTTCTTTATAAAATGTTAATTAAAGCTGGAAGATAAAGTTAACACTTTTGCTATATTATGCTCTGTGAATTTTGGAATGGAATAAGCATCAGAATTGTGACAAACATTCAGAAGATTTATTTGCAGTGTGCTCCATCTCTTTGGTCAGTCAAAAAATGGTTTGGCAGATTTCATCAAGGTAATTATAATCTAAATGATCAACTACACTTCGGGCGACCTTCTGACATTGATGAAGATGCTCTGCTTATCAATATGGAGAATAAACTGAAGATTTCAATGGCAGAGATTGTTAAGAGTTTGAAAATCAATATCTCAACTTCATTTCATCATTTGAAAAGACTTGGGTTCGTTTCTAAACTTGACATATGAGTGCCACTTTCTTTGATGGAACAGAACAAGCTCAATCATGTTTCTATAGTGATTTCTTTGATACAATACAAAAAGAAGCCATTCTTGGACAGAATTCTCACAGGTGATGAAAAATGGGTAATTTATTATAATGTTTGATGCAAATAGAGCTGGAAACAAATTTGTGAATGTGTAGAACCCGTGGCTAAAGTGGGCCTGCATCCAATGAAGCTGTTGAAACAATAATTGCAAAGAAGTATTGCAAGAAACTCACCAATCTCAATGTGGCTATTCAAGAAAAGCTGCCAATTTTGGCAAATTGAAAAGGTGTCATTTTCCACCATGACAATCCAAGACTGTATATTGGAAAATAGATCTTGCAGAAGCTTAGAGAGTTCAAATGAAGAAACCTCCAGCAGTCACCATATTCTCCTGATTTTTGGTTCCTTTGGATTTTCACTTCTTTCAGTCTCTACAGAACAATTTAAATGACAAAAAATTTGGCTCACAACTTTCTTCCAACAAAAAACATGAAGTTTCTACAAAAATAGCATCATCAAGCTTCTAGAACAATGGGGAAACAGTTATTGAATCAATTAAAACTATGTACTTGACTGATATATTTTTTTTTTCTATGTAAAATTTTGTTTTTAATTTTCTAATCTGGCACAATCTTTTGCAGTGATGTAATAGTACAACATTGAGTTATAAAATTTATAAATTTATTTGTCAAATTATTTACAAATTAAGAAAAAAAAGTATCTTAATTTATTTTTATGTTTTAGGCTATATCCTGAATATGATCAGGCTATGAATAATTTAGCAAACATTTTGAAGGAGAGAAACAAAGAAGAAGAAGCCAGAGAATTACTTGAAAAAGCTGTTCAAATCAGGTGAGGTTTTTAGTTTTATTTGCTAATTAAGGATCACTTTCTATTTAAAGTTTCAAACCAATAAGGAGTTTAAATGGAAGAATATTTCTATTGCTGCTGTTACTAAAACTATTAGAAATGGGGAGGAGGGAGTCAATGAATACTATTTTTATGAAAACATGGAATCTCTATTTTTCTTCAGCTCCCTAATTTTTTGTTTATTCATTTTCTTTGAAAATCCAAATACTGTCAAAAAAACATTTTTTTAAATCTTCCAACATGTTTTTTTTTTTTCTTCAGTACACCATTTCTTACACTGAAGAATGCCTTGGCACTGGGTAATGTTTACAAAATTCAATATTAATTAACCTAATAAGTATTGAGTATAAAAGCAACTGACCTAATCAGGCATGAGGTAATGATTAGCAAGTCTAATTGACTGTTACTATTAAGTAGTGATTTCATTCCTCATTGGGTTTGGCACCTTAGTGTAAGGTAATGGTTAGTGAGGCTCATCTGGTTGACTATTATTACTGAGTAATGAGTTCAATCCTCCCTGAATATTCAACATTAAATAACTCAATAAGGGTTGACATGTAGTAAAATCATCCTAACTCATGTCCTTTGTGGTTTTAACAAATATTTTCATTTGATGACATTCCTCTGATAAGTGTCAGGAAAAAAAAGTTCTGTAAGAATAATTCAATATGATTTTTCTTATCTTAGCTATAACAAAATTTTGTACCACGACACAACTACAATAAATATATCCATAATATAAAACCAATTAAGACATAACTTAACAAGTATATTTTTTTAGGTTGGTGCAATATATTCCATCATTTTTTTTTTTTTTTTTTTTTTACACTGGCCTTTTATTCATATAAATTCATAGCTTTATTTTTCAGTCATGAAAGAATTTTCCCTAGCTTTCTACGCTAAATTGCTGCTTCCACCATCAAAGAACAATTTTGCTATTAATTCAATGAATTTTTCATCTTGAATTTGTTAGAATTGCTAACCATATAAAGCATTACAGGAAGTGAAACAAGTGACAGCCTGAAGAATAAGCTGTGTTTTGTCACATCCCAGCAACAAAATAATATTTTATGCGTGCATTTGCAACCTGAGAATGTTCCAATATGTCATTCAAACAAGCCAACTGTTCACTGTATCATTGGTGTCGTAATAGTTTGCCCAGGTTCCAGAAATATGTAATAAAGAAATAAAAAAATTTCTTTGAATTTTACAACTATACAGCAGCAGTAGGACAATGTCTACAAATCTGAGAAAAACGGGAAATCTCGGAAAATAGGTACCACATAAAACCTATGGAAACAAACTTTGCTCAGTGTTTAAACGCTTTTCTTTTCTATCAACATGGAAGGAAATCATTTTAGGATTTGAATAATCCTCAATGAAGAAGGGATTTAATACAAGAATTCAAAATGAAGAATACATGGTGAGAACCAGGAACATTTTTCAACATCAATCTAAGTGGAATTTACTGTGGAGTAAAAGATTATTGTTTGGTGAGAAATCTTTTGCATGAAAAGATACTTTTCAATAATGCATTATCTGATGATAGTTTAAGGTGTGAAATTGACCTGACAGTCATCATGCAGTGTTGATTTCTATGTCCACATTGTTTATATCTCCAATATTGTGATTCCTTCTCATATATATATATATATATATATATATATATATATATATATATATATATATATATATATATATATATAGTAGGTAATTGATCCGTTGGTATATAATGTGGGTGGATCCTAGTAATATTAGTTATTAAAACTGATCCTCATAGAACTCGATGTATTTATTATAACAGAGCATATGTATTTTTTTACAGCAAAAAACAAAAATTACCTCAACATAAAGGATAGTCTATTTCAAGCTGTTCTGTACTCAGCTATCTAAATATATGTATGGACATGTAAATGTACATATATGTATGTATGAAGATATGTACACATATAAATCTGTTGGACAGTATGATTTATTCCATTTGGTGCTCTGGTATTATCCACAATCTATAAATGTATAACTCAACTAATTTACATTAATCTTAACGGGTTTAAGTTTAAATCCCCCATCACTTATTAATAATATTGGACATCTGTAGTAAAAAAACTATTTACTGTGAATCCCAGAAAAAGACACTCGGGGCTTGTATAAGAAACACCACATAGTAGAAACTGATATTAAACTACAATGAAAGGCCCTGGCCAGAAATAAACTCCAACCCCAGAGTGCTTCACCCGGGATAAGATACCTTATGCCCCCACCAATCACTAACACAAACCCACTCTCATTAACAAAGTGTCTATGAAAGGAGGACTGACATTGAAAATAAATTTAAAACAATGCTCTGAGACAGACACTTAGGGACTGATGATAGCTGCGTGCAGAACAGCTTGAAATAGACTATCCTTTATGTTGAGGTAATTTTTGTTTTTTTGCTGTAAAATGTATATATATAATTTCTAAAGTAATGAATTTTTATTTATTAATCTGACGGATTTTAACACTTTAAACATTATTTTTAGTAGATACCCATACTTGAATAAGCACTGCATTTATTTATTAAACAGTACATTTATTTTGGTCTACCAACCTGAATCTTATTAAACAAAAAACGGTGCCCTTTGGTAGAATTCAAACCTGCATTGCCTTTTGCAGGAGAAACCATTGTTAGGTCCAATGTGCTTTAGACTGACTTGGCCATGAATTGTCTTGCTGACTAGTATCTTATAAATGTAATTTCTTCCTAGATTTTTGAAAGTTCATATCTTCTTAATTTTGTATCCAAATGTAAACCAAGCAATTTCTAAAGAATAGATTTTTTTATTTATTAATCCGATAGATTTTATTACTTTAAATGTTATTTTTAATGGATACCCATATTTAAGTAGACACTCCATTTATTTATTTATTTTTGTATACTGGCCTGAATATTCGAGAAATCTTATTTAATAAACAGTGTGTCTGCTTTATTATATATATATATATATATATGATGGACTCTCTTGTCAAGTTTGACGTACGAGGTTTTGACAACCACAAAGTAATTATCTTCACGCCTATGATGAGCATGACTTTTGAGACCGGCTCGAGAATTGCACAAAAGACCACAAACAGTACAGGAGAATGTATTGTATCCAAGTGCAGTAGGAACACTGTTAGCTGTCTTATTTTGCTTTTGTGTTTCATGCAGTTGAATGATGCTTATTTCTTGATGGTGCATTATTCTTGAATGGCAGCTGGAACGATACTCTGATCTCTTCAAAGTTCTTGAATGGAATGTTGACGTAAGAAAGGTTGCTTTTCAGTTCATCTTTATACTTGAGCCAAGGTCTACTGCCATTTCTATAACCACTTTGGAGTTCACTGTAGAAAAGAACTTTTAGTATGTGATCAACACTCATACTTGCCACATATTATATATATATATATATATATATACACACACATACACTCACTTTCTGGTCTCTGGTTGTATGTTCTGATAAGGTAATTTAATTTTTTGCCCCACTTCAAAATCTCAGTGCATTTTCCTTGCACTGTTTTGTTTTTCATTTCCACATGAAGAAGCCGAATCTATCACATTGTGAGTGAAATGCATCATTAAAAAAGCTTTTCCACTTTTTCTCATTTTCATATGTATGATAAAAATAAATAGTTTAAAGGTATGCTATAGTTATGGATAAAAGTGCTCAATATTATTGATAGAGCCTGGACGCTGAGGTCAATGTTGAGTGGCTACAGTCTGTTTTATGTGTCCAAATTTTATGCTATAAGTTGTTCTGTTTGTGTTTTAACAAATTTTGCATTATTTTGATTGCAGGCCTTCATTTGCAGCGGCTTGGATGAATTTGGGCATTGTACAAGCTTCCATGAAAAAATATGATGAGGCATTAGTCAGCTATACCAATGCCATTCGTCATAGGCGCAATTATCCTGACTGTTTTTATAATTTAGGCAATTTGGTAAGTAACAGAATTTAGTTTTCTTAAGATCTGTGAAGAAATATTTTCCAAATTGTTTTTGTCTTTATAAACACATTACAGCTGATACATTCTTCAAGACTATATATTTCATCCAGAAATTCCAAGAACACTGGAAATTTTGGTGGATTGTTTTTTTGCTCAGTTTATAGTGTATGTAGATGTGAGCAACAGATATACATCTAAAGAGATTTATTTGATTATTAATAGCCAAATTAGTTTTGTTAATAAAATTTTTCAGTGCCCAACATTTATAAAAATACTTGTGGATTTTAAGCTTTTCTAATGCTGGAGAGCTGTCTAAACAAAATTCTCTGGATATGCCAAAAGGCGAAAGAGTTTCTTGCATCAGAAGAAAATAAAAAAAATAAAAAAAATCATTCCTGGAGTGAAACTGGTACCCCAAAATTCTTATTTAAATGCAACATTGTCGTCATCTATCATTCTTGAATCCTGTTTGTTTATTGTTCTTTCTCATCAATAAGATTTTCTTTCACTCTTAGTAACTTTATCACCTCACTTGGTGAAATAATGCTGCACAGAATTCTACAAGATTTAGGAAAATCTCAAGTCTAGCACTGTGACCTGCAACTCTTTGAGAAACCATGATGCTCTTATCAAAGCATTGAAATTAACTGGCAAGAAAGTAAAGATTTCTAAATTTACTAGATGACAAATTTTAAGAAAATTCATCTAAAGCTGTTCTGAAAATTACACAGTACAGCTAACCTGAAAATCTTCAGTTCATAACATGTTAGCCTGTGACTCATGTAATAATGCTGTGAGCGAAGCTGAAACCATGTTTGCATAAATGCCACAAAGAAGCCAGGTATCAGTAAGGAGTGATGATTCTCAAAGATCAGAATGTAATTTGGCTGTGGGCTATGCTATCTTGTATAATAGAATTTTGACTGCACTCAAGGATGGACCAAGTGATGCTAAAACATGGTCTTAACCCCAAAGATACCAATAAATATAGAAATTGATCTTTTTACATGACAGTGTAAGTTGCCATTCTGCAATGAAAATAGTTTTTTGTCTTTCAACTTCAATCTTGTAGAGAATGTTTAAGGAATAATAGTAGATGTGTGAAATGTCAACACCCAATATTCCACTCTTGAAAAAATGATATTGTGGTTGTATGAGAGAAAATCTTTCAATCTACATTCATTAAAGTGAAAAATTCAGTGACAAATCATGTACATTCAGGTTTGAAGGAAAAAGGTGCAGTCATAATGCATTACCTTTTTGCTTAATAAAATAATTATTGGACACAAGTTATTTAAAGTATCTTAGAATAAAGACTAAAAAGTCAACTTTACAATCATACAGAAAATACTTTAAAAAGACATATACATACATACAACTTACAAACATTTTTATAAAAATCTGGATTCATTCACTAACAAATTCCACAAAAAAAATCAGTGTTTTTTATAAGTTCTGGAGGAAATGATTCATGGTTACAACACCATCTCCATTAACCTTGTTTTAACTATAAATTGGTGAATTCTCAATAAAAAAAGAAAAACAAACAAACTGTTTTTTCTCTCTCCTCCACATATATATATATACATACACACACAAATCTCTTACGCTTCGTCATTTCATCTACCTAGAGCCAATGATATCACTGGCATTAAAATATACCAACAGCTTAAAACAATTTCATTATATTTGTCTCCTTTTTTAATCCTAATCATGTTACCATATGTCATAGAAATAAGTTATGTCTGAGCTTATTACTTTATAATTGCATTAGCATAGGGGAGTGATGTAAGTGCTTATTCACAGTAACTTGTGGGTATGCCTCGACTTACATGGAAAATCATGTTACAATGCATAGTAGGAACAGAACTCTGTTATAAGTCAAGGACCCCCTGTATTGTATCAGATATAAGTCTTTGGTTTACCATCTCACAACGAAATTAGTCCTTTAGGTTAGATGCCTTGTATAACTCTGACTTATCTCTCAGTGCAATTGGAAAAGCAATATTTCATCATGTCAATAGTTAAAAAAAAAAAAAAAAAAAGACCTTTTAATGAAAGTAGACAAAGGAATTCCAGAGGTCAATGTTTATTAAAGAATAATATTTAAAATAGACTTTTTTTTTTGTTTTTATTGCAATGAAGTGTTTCTGCATTTTTCCAATATGAAAGAAAATTTGTTTCCTTTCCATTGATACACCTGGTAAATATGACAGACACAATTTAAAAAAAAGAAATAAGAAATTTGTAATTTATATGCAAATGAAATCTTTATTCATAAATATTTATGTATATATGTACAATATAAATATTTTTTTATATTTCTTTTGTAGACTCAATAAGTTTGTAACCTAATGATGAAAACACTTTTTTTTTTTTTTTTTTTTTTTAATCTAATTGCCTTGTTAATGCAATTAACCCAATACTTGTACATTACTGACATAGATTAAACTTTAAAATTCAGCAAAAATTTTTCTAACTTGTCTTTGTTAGTTCTTGGAGACTAAACGATATGACTTGGCACTTCAAGCATGGAAAAATGCTACAATCCGAAAACCCACACACCTCAGTTCCTGGAGTAATATGATCATTCTACTTGATTCTCTTGGTGAGTAAAATATTTGCAGGATATTTTGAATTTGTGAAATACAAAACTCATAACCTCAATTCTTCTGGCCGTTATTAATGTAATTCTTTTCTTTAAACATGAATGAATTAAACACATGATAGGATTTCATTTCAGAACTGCTCGTGTAGCAACAAATCAGCAGTGAAGATTAGCAAATGACCAGTACAAAGTTGATCATGGAAGATATGCAATATTCAGATTTAATGACTAACAAGTGATAAATAAGTGACTAAAATGGAAGTTCCTTTCTTAGCAGGAACTCCTTCAGATTAATAATGGTTTTATCAATTTAGTCGGTCATCATATGTAAAAATTCAGATATAAATACATATATCTGCAAAGGCAATATTTAAAAAAAAAAAAAAAAAAAAATGACAAGGAAAACCTTTTATGTTGACATGTTTTGTTCCTTGCAGAACTTCATCAAAAGCAAATGTACAAATTTGAATTAGAGAACAATCTAGAAATAATCTCTCAACACTAAGGAACCAATGGTGGATACCAAATGTTTTAATTACATATTGTAATTTATATCAAGAAACAAATTAACCATTTTCCTTTAATTTTTATGGTTATGCATAAATATAAGGGACTTTTTTTTTTAAGGAAAGGATATTTTGAATATATATATATATATGTTCAAAATATCCTTTTATGTAAGGTAATGAAGGGTTTGGTAATCCATGTGGATAATTCCAAAGAGGATGTAACAACAGAGCAAATATTAATTAAATGAAAAGGAAGAGACAACCTTAAGGTTCCATGACTATGATATATTTTTCCTGGTTCATCAGGTCACATCTGTAGTTACAAAGGAATTTGGTTTCTTTTATTTTTAATACAAGTTTTTGAGGGGTAGTTTTAGATTGATATAAGGTGACAGGAGGACTATAGAAAGATCATTCTATAGTCCTCCCACCACCTGGCACCTTATATCAATCTAAAAGTACGCCTCAAAAATTTGCATTAAAAATAAAAGAAACCAAATTCCTTTGTAACTACAGATGTGACCTGATGAACCAGGGGAAGTAAATTAGTCATCGAACCTTAAGGTTGTCTTTCCCATATTATATATATATAGGAAGGAACTGGTTATGCAAGTAATCCAAAGTTCCTTAGTATTAGTTATTATTTTTTTTTAAAAAGTGCCTTCCAAAAAATTTCGCTTGAAAATGGAACAGAGCTCACTTTAACTATATTGAAGTTTTTGGCTCTTGTTTTGAAACATGAGACCTCTTATGTTGTGAGTTGGAATCATATTTTTAAATAAATAATTATATATATCTAAAAAAGGTGATTATTTGTTGTGAAATGATTTAACAAAAAGTAAATAATAGATTGTAGTTAAACAAAAAAAGTGGTCTTTTACAAAATACACTCAATACCATATCTTTTGATTGAATTTAAAATCATTCTCTTAAAGAATAGTTTTAAGTGAAAAGATAGAGAATTTTGAAATTAGTTCTCTTTTTATATGGCAAATTTACATCCAGGTCATTATTTCCTGTGAAGAGAAAAAAAAAAAAAAAAGGATAACTAAATGTGAGTAACTAAGCGTCAAAATTTTAATTTAAAGCTGAGTGTCCTTTTATGTGAAATTATAACTGGCATTTATCCTCCAACCCAATAAATAAAACTGTCTGTCAATAAAATCATTATTAGTCTAAACAAACAAATGTATCACTTGGAAGTCATTCAGTTAGCCATACTTGGTTGTGTAAACACAGAACTGTTAGTATGGGGTTAATAAGAAAATCTGAAGAATTTCTTTTGGTTCAGATTCAATTTCTATTGACTTTTGTGCATTCATTTTTCTTTCTTCCTCCTCCTTTTTCAGATGATTTGAAAGCTGCAGAAGCAGCAGGTTATAGTGCTATAAATCATTTACCTCAGGAATCAATTTTGTATTTGCACCTGGGCAGTGTGTTGGGTAAAATGGACCGTTACAAAGAAAGTGAACAAAGCTTCCTTCATGCAATTAAGCTCATGCCCACCAATTCCCGTTATTACCTCAACTTAGGTTTGTAAAATTTCTTACCTATATTCTTTAATTAGGCAATGCTTAAACCAGCTCCTTCTTAAATTGATTTTATCAGTTGTGACCATATGAAACGTGACATTATCAAAATAACAACAGAGAAGAAAAGAATTTTTTTTCAGTTCATTAAAACATGCTTATTCAATCATTTATCAGCAATTCATTTCTTCTCCACCAACCCAGCTCTGGGTTTATCAGCAAGAAAAACCGAGTCCCTGACTCTTTTTAGCCATGTGAGGGTCATTTTAGAAACATGGAGAGAGAAGTTCATATTAATGACTATGAAATCTATTATTATTTTATCTGTAGTTCAGTCTTATTTTTAGCCAAAACATATTTAGGAGGTTGCTTAAAGTACAATTTCACTATAACCTATTGGAGATTTCCTATCTATAAATTTTGTGTTACCATAAATTAATTTTACTCTACAGAGATAAAGCTTTTTATTTCCTCCTCATTAATTGATTTTTCTTTTTATCTCCCAGGGGTCCTTTATCATCGATGGGGAAAGTTTTCAGAAGCTGTGACTGCTTACAAGAAATCTCTAAGCCTGGACCCAACTCAGAAAAATGCTCAACAATATTTACAAACAGTGCAGAAAAAGATAAACAGACAAATGTGAAATAAAAATAGCACATTTTCTTTTTGTGGGTTTGTTTGGACTAATATCTTCATCTTTGTGCATCTATGACATATGCAGTTAAAGAATACAATGTTAAAACATTCACTGATATTAACTAGAACTGACCTGTATTGCTTATTGGGCCAAAGAAAAAAAAAAAAAAAAATCATTGTTTCAAACTGACCGACAGTAAACTGAAATTGCAGACTTTGTTATATTAATTCACCTTCTTGGCTCAGTCAAAAACTTTCCAGTGCTCCCCCCCACTCATATTGTTTATATTCATATTTAAAAAAAAAAGAAAAAAAAAGGTAACCCATTTTGTCTTTCTCCATATATTAAACTAGTCATAGCATTACTGCCTTGTTTTGAGTACTTTTATAAAAGGACATCACATATTCTGTTAGTAGCTGCTGCAGTCTGTATAAGTTTTTAATACACTCCCAACCAATAAACTGTACCATAAGGTGGGGAAAAATATTTTGATTAGATTAAAAATTATGCAAAGGTTGGAGATATTAGTCCAGATAAAAAAAAAAAAAATCTGAACCTCAATAATGGCTCATGTCTTAAAGTTATTTCATAATGAAAATAATTTTCATTTTTTTCCCTCTTTTTGTATGGTTTCTTTTTCTTATTAATTAAAAAAAGAAAAAACAAAATTATATTTTTTTAAATAACTTTTGACACTTTATATATATGAAATGAAAAGACAAATTTACACTTGTTTTTAATAATGATCACCTGATGTAATTGTAAGTTACACATTGTATATGTTTTAATGTGTTCATTATGCATGAAATTTAAAAAATAAAATTTGTTTCTTTAATTGCTAGCTAGTTTGAGCTGTGTTTATTCCACACATGGAAATTTTCTTTCACCTATATAAAAGCATGGACCTACTTGGTTTATTAAATAAAAAACCTACTTGGTTTATTAAATAAAAAAAAGAGCACAAGTATTTATACCTACACAAACAAAAGGTTCTAGGAATATGTTACACGAATTTAAAACATGCCAAGTCTCTGTTTACCTTTAAGTTTGCTTAAACTGCCAAAATTTTTGCTATCATCTGGTAAAAAAATAAATAATTTCAGATATCTTGCTTTTTGTGACCAAGATCTTCATTGGTAATCTATAAAAAATTAAATAAAAAAAATTAAACAAATGGATATATGAAATGTACACTGGCTATTGTCCTCATCTTTGTTGCTATCAGATCTGGATAAGCACCAGGGAATTTCAAACTGAACCCATTATTTATCATCTAGTCTTATTTAGATGAGTTATCACCTTTAAATGTGAGCATTCAAACAAAAACAATCTACCTCTGCTAGATCAAATAAAGAGTCCAGTTCAAAATTCTGGAGGGCCCAGTAGCTGAAGTGTTGATAATGGCAAAGACAGGGACAATAGTTCATGTTTAAATAATAACTCATCCCAGAAATTCAGACAAATTTTCTAAACTATTGAATAAACCTTCACAGGCAAAAAGAAAAACAAACTTTATTTGCTTTATTAAGTAGAAAACTGATTTGTGAAAGCTATATAATAAAAATGTATTTAAAAAAAAAATGTTAATGAAAGAGAAATTTTTTCTTTTCCTTTATGAAAAGAATCAATTCTTTCTGAAATATTTTTGTTTTAGTCATTGAAGCAATGTAGAATATACTTACCAGCAAATTATAAGATAAACCAATAAGACAACAGTGTTACATACAAGGTTGTTAAGGTGAAAAATTGCTTTCCTGTATTGGTGGTTTTTGAAGTTCCAAGGTTAGGACCTACAAGTTAACAACAGTTTATGCATTATACAAAAAGAGATAAGTATTAGAAAAAGCTTAAATCATAGCTTTTCACATTAAAAAACAAACAATTTAAATTATCGATAGTGTGTTATAAAGTGAATGGAAAGATACTTAGTTTAAAAGAAACTTTTCATTTCATTGGTTCAAACAAAACTGGCAGCAGGTCATCCTTGATGTTGTAATATTTTTAATGACCTAGAATTTTTTTTTCTTTTTAAGTAGACAATATATTTATATATATATATATATTTCCCCTTTCCCAGGGGTATTAGCCTGTTAGTGAATGTAATGGATTCAACTGGAATTCGAACACGGCTCTGCGATTCCTCAATCCAAGTCGCTATCCATTACTCTACCGTGAATATATATATATATATATATATATATATATAAAAACAGGAGATGGTTTAACAATACACTGGCCAAAACGTGATTAAAATAAGAATGTATAAGTTTCAAAGTCAATTCATTTTAAACTTACCTTTATTAGTAGATAGCTCAATTTGGATTCGGTATCTTGTAGCAGCACTTGATATTTTACTAAGCCTGATAACTACATTATTGCTGTAGGTCCTGAATGAGGCACCAGGACTAGAATGACAACCAAATGACCTCTATGAAAAAAAGAGACACCATTTAAGATTATCACAGTATTTTTCTGTTTTGACATTAAGTATTTCAATGATGCTTCCTATGATAATGATTTTCAATAGCAACAAAATCAGGAACTTATACGATAGAAACAATGTTTATTTGGTATATGTGGATGTATATCTGACATCTAATATGAGACAACATTAGAAAAAGCCACTCAAATTTTACTTTAACAATTTCTTTACTTGAACTTCTTATCTGTGGGACTCCTGATTTCTTCCTTCTTCTCTTGCCACCTACAATCTTCCAAAAATTAAATGCAACATTAATCATTATCCTGTTTTTCTGAACCCTGTTCCTTTATTGTCCTCTCCTTACTTCAGTCTTTTCATTTTCTTTCATTCCTTGTAACATCCTGTATCATAGTGGCATTATCACCTTACTTGGAGTGAAACAATTTAAAAAAAAAAAAAATTTCTGGTAATCAAGAATTACAAGAAATCAGTTTACAAAAGGTTATTTCTCTTTCTCAACAGAAAGTAATTGTGTGCATATTGTAAATTTCAAAAAGGGTAATTGTGTGTAAATGAATATAATAAACTTAACTGGAATTACATCACAGATCTTTGATTAAAATATTCTGGGCTGTTATCCATTACAGCACCTGGCCACTGAACTATAAAGTTTAAAAAAAAAAAAAAAAAAATGTCAGAAAAAAGTAAATGTAGGAGTTCAAAATATCTTTGGCCAATTTTGTCATTCTAAAAGATACTCAAAGCATGATTTCAGGTTTCAGAGAGTAAAGGTTGTGTAGTTGTGCCTTCTATCCTTCTTCACGAGTCAGGATAGCAGAATATGGACATTGAACCCTTATAGATTAACTAACAAGTTCAGCTTTAAATTCCATGAATCAATAGATACCTGAAGAAGGCCAATGTTCAAAACACTGATGAATCTATCACAAGCAGTGAACACTCACTGATATAATTTCCTTAACTGAGAATTGAAGTAATGTTCATGTCTAAAGAGTAGAAAAGTTAAAGTCAATGAATGAAAAGCAGAGATAATATCAAGGAGCCCATATTAAATAATTTATTCAGATGTTTAGGTTATTACCATGTTAATCAAATATGGTTTCTTTGGATTTATTTATAAATAGAAATTTATGTTGCACTTTGTTTAATAAAATCAGACATCGACAAAATAACCTACTATCAATATTTTCAATTAGGATAGAAACACATAAAATATAGATTTGCTTTTATAAATAAGATATATTAAGGACACTACAGTCTTAAGAAAAACATTTTTTTCAAGGAATAATTAATTTTTATTAGAATTTTTTCTTATTTTTTTTAACTTAAATTATTGTAATTAAAGTTTTAAGTACAAATAATCAAACACCCATATTTTTAAAAGAATTTTGTTTATGTGTATAAACATGCCATTTTTTGTAGATAAGGACATCCATACACATCAGAAAATAAATATACAAAAAGGTGCTCACGTTATATTCAATATTTTTTATGGCTAAATCCTCCATAGAAGATCAGTAGATAAACAGCTGCTGTCAGGTTAAAAAAAAACGCATTTCTACAATATTTTAAACTTAAAGTAAATAATACTTGTTTCAGAAAAGTAGATTTTATTTTTGGAAGATTTTTAAGAAAGACAAATAAAAAAAAGGTTGCTAATCAGCTATTTTAGCAAAAAAAAAAAAAAAAAAATATTTCCTGTCAAATTAGTTTTTGAAATACATTATTTTGCTTATTGGAAATATTAAATTTAATCAATTAGCTTGAAATTAAAATAAAAGCATCAAGAAAGACTTGCAATTTTTAAAAATTCATTTTCAACCTTATTGCATTTTCTGTGGTGGTACCTACTATGACTAGAACAATATCCTGAATAGTATACAAACATCATTTTAAACTGTCTATATTTCTAAGATGAGGTATTATGTACACTATTTACATTATTCAGACTATTGTCCTTGTCTTTATTATGTTTCAATTGTAGTTAGATCCAGTGACAGGACCCAAAGAGTGTGAGTTCAATACCTGGTTAAGGTGGTGCAGAACTTGGAGAGAGGAATTAACAGAAGTTAACTGATAACTGACATCCATTAAACATGGCATGTGGAACTAGAACAGTCTATCCCAGTGAGTGAAATAAAGGGTTCAGTTCGACATTCCAACCAACTCAAGAAGGCCAGAGTGTACAAAAGCTGAAACAAAGATGAGGGCAATAGTCTGAATAATGTAAATAGTGTATCATTTTAAGCTTTGTCAGATTTTATTGTGCAAGTCAAAGAGAAGGTTAAATTTTTAGTTGAAATAGCTATTCCTCTTCTGACATTTTATTGAATTTATAGATATTGGACATCATTAACCAAATATTACAATCTGAAAACTTTGCTTTTCTCTCAAGTAATGAATATTTACCAGATTCATACAATCTTTTTCTAAAGATCATACAAAAAAAATATTTATAAGAAATGAAAATACTATCTTGTTAGCCAAAAATCTACTTTAAAACACTAACATGATATAAAAGATTGATGGATTCTTGTCAAGGTTAACACTAGAAGGAACAGCT